AATTTCAATTTAATAATAAGAGGCTTTATACATTCCATTCCATTTAAGAATGTTCATAAACATTAACCCAGTTATACGGGGACCTTTACCGATGCTGTCAAATATCAAAATATCAGAGGGAAAAGGAAAAGGTCTTGCCATTATTAGTATCAGGTGCTAGGAAATCTATATGGCAACTGTAGAAGATGGCAAATATTACAAGCTATGTTTATATTCCCTTAGTTAAACATTTCTAATGAAAAAGGGGATATCTGCCACTAGTCATTTGAAAAAAGAAAAAAGAAATGCATATTATTTGAAATAAGCTAAGAATAAGGGACTGATAATAGAGATTATAAAAGATCTGATTATTTTCACACTAGTTGTAGTCAGAGCTATTCTCTTTAATCGCATTTACTATTGTTACTGAAAACATGTTGCAAGCAGGGTACAAAGAGAGTAAGTATTAACATATGAAACAGTGCCACACAAGCTTGATAGAAATAATAGTTTTAATGTATTTTTTTCAGAAATGCAGTAATTAACATTTCTTCATAATTAGGATATGTCTAAACATGTAGTTTTAATAGTAGTTCACTGATATCATTAAAATGACTCTATGAGGCTCGCTTTTAAATTCAGTTCTCATGTTCTGTTTTATACTAAGCTGATATAAACATGAATAACGTTATCATAATTATATATATGGATCCACTGTTTCAGTTTCTAGACATCAAAATATGAGCGAGATTTGTAGTTATTTATTTTCCAGTGCAGTATTGTTTATTGGGTCCGAAGATAATTTATGAGACTCTGATAGTGATGGAAGATAAAATATTTGGCAAAATGAAAACCAGTATATGATGCAGTATTAAATAAATGAAATCTAATTAGGCCACATGTAGTATGCTACAGTATCTATCTTTAGAGAACCTTTCCTTTTAGGGTTTTCCCATGGTACTGTGTGGTAGAGGTGTTCAATTGTTAGTGTATGAAAGGGACTTTGGGAAACCAAGAGCCACTGTTCTTGATGTTTTATGACACGTGAATACCTCTACACCACAGCATGGGATAGCTCCTGTATCTAAGGCTTGATTTCACTATTCATCTCTGTATATTGGTTTTATTTTCATTTTTGCCATTGGGATTGATATCTGACTGTTTAGTTGTTGTTTATCTGATGACATTATGATTTTGAAGATCTTTGTTTAACATTGGTAATATCTGTTATTATTAGTGAGTATATATCGGTATTAAAAATTAGTCTTTTTAATTTTCTACACATTCCTTGTTCGACTAAAGAATGTAGAACATCTTCGGTTAAAGTCAATACGTACTATTTTTAATTTTGAGGAGTTTTGCAGTAGACTCCTTATCAAGGTGCTGTTTTTAAGAGTTAATAATAATTATAGTAAAAAAATTAAATAAATGAAATCTAATTAGCCCACATGTAGTATGCTACAGTATCTATCTTTAGAGAACCTTTCCTTTTAGGGTTTTCCCATTGTATTGTGTGGTAGAGGTGTTCAATTGTTAGTGTATGAAAGGGACTTTGGGAAACCAAGAGCCACTGTTCTTGATGGATTGATATCTGACTGTTTAGTTGTTGTTTATCTGATGACATTATGATTTTGAAGATCTTTGTTTAACATTGGTAATATCTGTTATCATTAGTGAGTATACATCGGTATTAAAAATTAGTCTTTTTAATTTTCTACACATTCCTTGTTCGACTAAAGAATGTAGAACTTCTTCGGTTAAAGTCAATACGTACTATTTTTAATTTTGAGGAGTTTTGCAGTAGACTCCTTATCAAGGTGCTGTTTTTAAGAGTTAATAATAATTATAGTAAAAAAATTAAATAAATGAAAAGAAAAACTCAGCCATCCAGAACTCAAAGGGAAATTTTGAAGTTAATTCCTACATGGTTAGATATACTTTCTTTTGTACTGACAATCATTGGAAACAAGTATCATCCATGTAAGAGTGAATGCATAGCTTAGGAACACTACTTTAGCAAAGCTTCATCCTGTTTTTATACGATAAGGATTTTGAGATTTTTTAAAAGTAGGGCATTGCAGTGTTAATGTGGATAGCTGAATTTAATTAAATCATTTAAAGAAAATATTTGATATCATGAAGGAAGTTTTTAAACAAAATTTGGTTAGTTTTGTATGATTTTATTTATGGGCATTGAAACTGATAGAAGTTTAATATGTTTACAGTCTATTTCATGATGAGTATTTGAACTTTTACTATATGTGATTTTTAGTAAGATACAAGGATATTACTGTCTTGGAAACAAATTCAAAATATGAGTAATAGAAATATGAAATAACTTTTATGATTTAAGTTCATACAATTTAGTGCTTCATTCTTATGTTTCTGTTGTGCATTCCGAGGAAAAGATATGATCATGAGGGCACTGAGCATTTTGATTTTGAATAAAACCCACTTAATACTCAGGTTCAGTCAAGTTTATATTTAGTTTCAGTTCTTATTATATTGTGAAAAAATGTTTGAGTAGGGACAGTGAGTGCTTGGGATGATATTGACCAAGATTTCGCATATATATTATAATATTCCTTTCATTTCCAATTAATCAGAAAGTTGAGATTGTGAAATTGGATGCACCTCTGCCTCTCTGTAAAGGAAATTCAGGCTAGTATTTCTTTCAATTTTCGTACAGGTACTTTCAGTATCTCTGTTCAGTCATTCTGAACTTTTCCATCATTGCAAGAAAATTCCTTGTGAAAATTTTTCAGTAACTATCTCTAAAAATAAATAAAGTTAATACTGGAAAAATATAAAAGTAATTTTTTATCCCTATCTGGACACCTGTAACTTTGGAATTGTTATGCAAATGATTGCTTGTGTATCAAAGCATACTGTAGGAAGGTATCTGATGTTAGTATATAATGCTCAAAACCAAATTAAAAGTACAGTGACTTTTTTACTAACCTCATTATTATATTTCTTTAGTTCATTATTTTATTTATTCAGAAAGGTGAATTTTTAGGAAATATCTGTGCACATAAAAAATGGTATAATTATAAGTTGCTGTACAGATAAAGTGGTTGAGCTTTTGGACTGGTATAACTCAATAGTAAAAGTAATTGATTAAAATAAATTGACCATGCTGTAGCTGTATTATATAACTGCATTTAAGACTTTTTTTAAAGCAAAACAGTTTTATCATATTTAATCATCACAGTTGCTGATGAGAAAGGTTTTGTGTCTAGCAGCATAAATTTATTTGCTGACTTTATACCAATGCTAGTCGTACATGTCTTCAGAGGCCTTACAGAGAGAAGTTTTAGGATATTAGCACCAAAATATGTTCTGCAAATTAAGAAGTTTATGAATATTTTTTCTTACAAATTCTGGTAGATTTTAGAACTGATAGTATATGCCAATGTTTTTTTTTTCCCAAGCTGGTAAGAATTATGAACACAAATTTGCATAGGAATTGACTGCTCTTGCATTTAATCTGTCTCATTAAAATGCAGTATAACTGATCACAAAAAAAAAAAAATCCCATATAAATTCTATAGATTGTTAATTCTTCTTTCTTGTATAGATATATCATGAACTTGTTGATTTCAGACAATTAATATGATATAGAGTATAATAAAATGGACTATGATGTAAATCCATCTTCCTTGGTATTCATTTCCCCTTGTTTATGATGATAAATGTGTCTTGATATAAGTATGAGCCATTTTCTTCTATTATGATATATTTACGCAAAATTGGTATTAAGTCTTTCTTTTTTTCTGTGCAATGATAATGAAAATCTTGGTATTTGAATAATTTTATTTACAACATTCTAACTCTAATAATAATAGCTAACTCACTGAGTTGATTGTCAAAATATGGTTAATAAAAATATAGCATGTTAAATAGAACAGACAATAATAAATAAAATCAAATGAAAATTTATGATACTGAATATCAAACTTTTTTTTATGTGCCATTAAGCTGACATTCACATTCAGAAATTTAATCTATTTTCTACAGTAAACTTTATTGCACACAGATTATCATATTTTCCCTAGAAATTCAGGAGTGGGCTTTTGGAAACCATAAAAAAGAACCTAAATTTTAAAAGACAAAAAACAAGAACCAATTAAAAAAAAGGGAAACAAAAAACTAAATATACAGAAGTAAAGGTTCATGGACAAAGAGAGAGAAAAAATAACTATACCATTAATGTCAAAGTGGAAAGAAAGTGGAAAAGGCTAAGATATAATTAGACTAAATTACACAAGAATTTCGAATTGCATTGAACCCCAAATTATGGGATTTGAAAAAAGAAAAGAAAAGAACTTTCAAATGATAGTAGATAATTTTTATAACAGGGTCACCTTATCAAAGGATGGAAATTTACTCTGGAAATGATATAGTCCTCAAAAATTATTTTCTACCATTACTATTAGTGATAAACAAAATAATATTCTAGCTTCTAAGTGAAGGTTGTCTTTTGCATGACTTATTATGTTTGTATCAGTCAGTATTTTAACTGAAATTAAAATAAACATGTCATTGTTAGTTCATTAAGAGAAAATGATGCGACAGATAAACCCTAAGTAATAGATTGATGATTATTACTAATATCACAGACACAGAAGGAAAAGAATAAATGAAAGCTTGATATATCTTTTGGCACAAATTTTCTAACTAAGAGTCTTGTAGTAAATTTTTTACTACGGGTTTCTTACAAAGTACTCGTTAAAAAGGACACAGTCTTCTTTATACTGTGGGTAGATTTGATGTTGATAAACCACAGTATATTAGAAAACTGAGTTCTTTTCTGTCATTAAACACAGCAGCGGCCATCAGACTCGCTGCAGTCAAGTTATAACTAATATGTATGTGATTGTGATTGTGTGATTGTGTGTGTGTGTGTGTGTGTGTGTGTGTGTGTGTGTGTGTGTGTGTGTGTGTGTGTGTGTGTGTGTGTGTGTGTGTGTGCGTGTGCGTGTGCGTGCATGTGTGCGTGCTTGTGTGCGTGCGTGTGTGTGTGTATGTTTGTGCGCGCGCGCGCGCGTGCGTGCGTGCTTGTGTGTGTGCGAGTGCGGCTGTGTATGTGTGTATGAGCAGCCGTTCATGTATCAAGAAAAATGAGTGCGCATGAATTCGAAGGCTCTGTTTGTCACCTATTAAATACATTCTCGTAATTATAATAATATTGAAAAACACAAACAATAAAAAAGGAAAAAAAACGTACTCGGTTGGTATACTTCATGGCCGAAAGGATATATTTTTTTCTTCGACTGACGCATATATCAATTGCAATATCAACTGACCAACTTTCCCCCTCAAGAGAAGCACCATGAAAGATGCCATTGTTATATCTAAGTCATTCCTTCAGACGGATTCAGGATTAAACCCAAAATAAAAGACGAACTCGGGTATATTAATCTTACAAATTTGAACTTTTGGAATACAAATATTGGTAACATAATAAAAGAAAAGTGGTAAGTATCCTGGTAATCGATACATAAATCATAAAGTAACGATTTTATAATTATTATTATTATTATCTTTTTTCAGCTAGTGGAAAGATATCGCATTATATTCCATATTACGTTCGGCTACAATAGAAGTTTTGTATGTACAGTAATTTCGCTAACATTATGTTAACACGATAGAGGATTTCGCTACTTTTATAGTGATCTTGTGCCAAAATAGACAAATTTTAAAATGAGTTCTTTAGCCTCAAGACAGTCTTTTATTATGGAATAATTGGTTGAGCGATTTTAGGGACTAATACAGACTAAATATGTCTGTATTATAAATCCTAATTTTGTTTTGGATTCATTTCAATACAAATGGAAATTCATGATATTCCTCAACTATTTCTCATAATTTTTTCAATGAATACGTTCTCGATATAAAAAGAAAAAAGAAAAAAAACGACGTATTATTTTTTCCTGTTCACGCGATATGCATTGTAGCCGTCGATGTCCGTGTCACAGATGTCATACCACTTGTCATGCACGAAGAAAGGCCCAAGGACTTCATTAGTGCGCTTGGTGTCACGTGGATGGAAGGTCACCAGCTCCCAGAAGAGCCGTTCCTTCGAAAGCGACAAAGAAAAGGTGTGTCATAATTGGGTTCAACGGTGCTTACAAAATGGAGTTTAGATATAGGCTATGAATGGGTTTATGGGCAATGACTTTAGTGGTGGTACTGGAGTTAGGAGTGATGCTTGTTTTTTTATATATATATATTGCCATGAAAAGAAAAGAAAAGAAAAAAAGAAAGAAAAACGACAATTATCAGAACCCCCCCCCGCCCCCAATTTATCAAAACCCGATAAAGAAAAAAAAATATATATATATATATAAAATGAAAATAAAAAATAACTATAAAAAATACCTTAAAACGTAGTAAAAAAAACCTCACCTTAAAGAAATACAGAGTCTGATCAGTGTAGGAATAATAAACGGCATCCAATTTCTTCGGCAGATTCCTGGATCCTTCGTCAGCTCTTGTGAATTCGTTGTGGATGAGGCGAGGGTAGCCCGGCAGACAGCACCCTTCCGTTCCATTCCTGATGTCGTAGCCGTAAACCTGGTGGTAGGATATGAGATTTATTTGATTCTTGATTTATATATGTTTATGAGGTTGATTTTGTTTTTTTATGTTTTTATTAGAGTATATGAGATTATTTATTACTATGTTTTCTTATTTTTTTGTGAATTCGTATTTGTTCACTGTGGTTACCTTGTTCTTATGGGATTTTTCTTTTATGGGATGGTTATAATTTCGGCTGGTTTTATTTATTTATTTATTTATTTATTTATTTATTTTTTTTAGTTTTTTTGTTCTTTTTTGTTCTTTTTTGTTGAGCTGTATTTGTTATTCATTAAAAAATGAAAAAAGGGAAAAGGATGTATTGGTGCTTCGCTGAAGTGACAAGTGTGTCCCAAATTTCTTTTTTTTTTCCTTTTATCTTCTTTTAATGTCGATTTTAGGGAATTTGTTTGTCGGTTATGTCATTGTTGGGAAAAGCTAGCTATCTTTAGGCAACGATCAGAAAACAATGAAATCTACACACGTTCACGCACATACGCACACACACACACACACACACACACACACACACACACACACACACACACACACACACACACACACACACACACATACACAACCCAACCCCCACTCCCACACCTACCCCCACAACCCACAACCCCCACAACCCACAACAACCCAACCCACCAAACTTACCTTCCGCCCCTTGAAGAAATACAAGTTCTCGTCCCTGATATCGAAGTAGACGGCGTCGAGGTTGCTAGGAATGGCCTTCGGATACGGTTTCTTGGCCGTGCGAGGACCGTGGAAGTCATGGGCGATCCGGCGAGGGAAACCGGGCAGGACGTTCCGGGTTTCGGGGTCGATCATGTAGTAGTGTTCTCCTGTGGGGGGGAGAGAGGAGGAGGGGGTGAGGAGGGGGAGAGGGGGGTGAGGGGGGAGTTAAAACGGTGGGTTGAGGTGGGAAATGAAGAATAA